TCTAGGGCAGAAGGACCAACAGGTGGGAGCTAACTTCAGTTTTTTTCAAATGGCAGGTGGAGACTGATCCCTGTTGCTGGTGGCATGTGAGCTGAGACAGGGGAAGTCTTGACCTCTTGTATGTCTTCCTTACTGGAATCCCAGGAGTGGAGGGTTAACCTGCATTTGTGTTGTTATAAGTGACTGAAATGACTCTTTTTCATTCTTCAGATATCCTTTCCTTTTACTGAAGACTCAATGTCTTGGTTTCTATGGCTGCCATAAGACATTGACACATTTAAACACACAGCTTAAAACAATAAAAATATCTTACATTATAGATATTATAGATTTGTAGGTCAAAAATTCAGTAACCCCAAATGCTTAGTTTCTCTCAAGGCTGAAATCAAGGTGCTGGCAGGGCTGCATTATTTCTTAAAGGGTGTGTGAGAGAATCAGCTTTGAAGGTCATAAATAAGCTTATAAATAATGAGTCTTTTGTCTCATTCCACTTCTCTGTGGTTAAAGGGAGGTTCCCATTCTCTGTGGTTATAGAAGTAAGGTTTCCATTTCCTTGCTGAGTTTTAGCTAGTGGTTGGTCTTTACTCCTAACCACACTACTTAAGCTGCCACATTATTTCTCATGCTTTTTATTTGACCTCTTCAAGTAATGTGGATTGAATGTGTCTTATGCTTTCATTTCTTACTTACCTGTAGCAGCTTTATCTCTCCAGCCTAAGAAAGGAAAAAAAAATACCTATCACATGACTAGGTTCACCTGGATCATTAAAAAGAAAAATAGATCCCTGTCTAGGTCCATAATCTTAATTGCACCAGCAAAGATCCTTTCACAATGAAACATAACAAATTCATAGGTTCTAAGCATGGGCATATTTTGAGAGGCAATGAGAGGCATGCTGTTGACTATACTCATCTCAATCATATTTGCTCATTCTTTAAGAGTCAAGAGAACTAGCTGGTCATGATGGCTCACGCCTGTAATCCTAGCACTCTGGGAGGTAAAGGCAGGAAGACTGCTTGAGCTCAGGTGTCCAAGACCAGACTGAGAAGGGAAAAATGTGACTCCGCCAAAAGTAGAAAAATTAGCTGGGCATTGTGGTGAGTGTCTGTAATCCCAGCTACTTGAGGAGGATCACTTGAACCCAGGAGTTTGAAGTTGCTGTGAGCTAGGCTTATGCCACAGCACTCTAGCTTGGGTAACAGAGAGAAATTCTAAAAAGAGAGAGAGAGAGATAAAGCTATCATATGTACCTGGAAATCTGGAAGATTGCATTAGCATATTACAAATTCCTCTTTGCTCTCCCCTAAAATGATCCTTATATTTTTTATTTTTGTATTCATTGAATTGTTATGTTTCCTTAGGAAGAAAATGAATTGATATTATTTATCTATACATTTGGATGGCTGAAATTATGCCTAACATTATATGAATGTTTCAATTTATACTCACTGATGTTAATGTACACCTTATAGCATAAACCTTGAAGGTAAGAATTGGGGCCTTGTCGTATATGAACAGACATTTTATTTGTTCATATGGGGAATATAAAAGAAAGATGAATGAGAGAAACAATAGGCACAGAATTGAGATAATTCTTTTGTATTGATCAGGACTTAGGTGATTTCCTGACCTTTTCCCATGAGAATCAGTTCAACTGTGGGAAAATAAAGGCATTTCTTAGGTGATGCACTGAATCTTTTGGTCTGATTTATATATGAGTAGTATTTGTGAAGAGTGAATATATTTTCATCCTGGTTAGTCTCAGACAAACACTAAGTATGCAAGGGAAGTAAAGCCAACTTCCTCACTGTCTGTCTTCCCTGGTCAGGTTTAAGTAAGAATCTCTTATTAATATGAAAGCCCCATTCCCTTAGGTGAATCTACTAGCATTTTCCTAGTTGTTCTAGCTATTCTAAGTATTTACTCTGATTGTTTTACTTTCAGAACTTAATGTTTAGGTCTCAAACATAATAATTAACATCACTGATTGCTATTTGGCAGTCCATAGACCTCATGGTTTTCATGCATTACCTTCGTTAGTAATTATAATTATTCTATGATGTAAGGATGATTATTGTCTTTGTATTGCTGAAAAAAAGCTGTATGTAGATTATTAACATTTTCAAGGCAAGCCTAGACTCAAACTTAGGTCCATCTAAGTTCAGTTTTATCAATTAAACCCTACTAACTTTGTTGTCCCCTAGTAGGGGACATTTGTGAAAAAGACAGCAGAATGCAATGTCTCAACACCTTATTGATCAAGGCAAATTATATGCTATATTTTGATCTATATTTGCAATATATGTGTGGTCAGCTACAGTAAACCCGAGCTTCTTATCATGCTTGGGGTCATTTTCATGGTGGACTCCGGTAAGAATTTCACATGTCCTAATAAATTAACATGCTATTTTATCATAGTTGTGTAGTAGAAAGACCCAGTTGAAGTATCTTTCTGTCACTAACAAACTGCACAAATTTGAAGTGTCTCTTTCTTTCTAGGCTCCAATTACTTCTGTAAAATGAGGATTTAGATACGATGTCCTAGTAGGTATCTTGGAGTTCTGATCATTCCTACTCTGACATATACCTTCTGAGCAATAAAATAGTGAGTGAGGGAGGTGTGGGAGCACTGGAGATGCTCCATATTCCCAGAAGTCCCCAAGAACCTGTGCTAACAACTTAAGGGACTTCCTGGATGCAGCCATATATTGTTCAGTCCAGGAGTTGGTAGAAGTAGCTGGAGGATATGGGCAGGGCATACTGGGCCCCCAGTATTGCTCTTCCTTTCTCTGCACCTTCTATGCATAGGACTTTCTCAGGTAGGAATGGTGGAGTGTAGGACACTCCGAATTTTGTCCTAAGGTGCTTGATTACTAGCCTGCAAATTTCTGTGTGTTACAGTATGGCAATCTAAAGGGGTAAAGGTTGTCTCTAATCTGAATGAGAATTTTTTTCCCTGGATGCTTTCAATGTTATCACCTTTGTAGCACTAGATTGTCTATCTGCTGTTCTTAGTTTCTGAAATTCAATGATCGTTTCCTCTACACATTACCTTCTTAGAAGGGATACTCCATCAGACCATTCTTGGGATGTAAATGGAATTATGTGAATAAACACCTTCATCTTTTTTAAAGAGACTCTGGAATCATGGACTGTGCCAAAATACCCTAGCTTGGAAGACCCCACTAATGTTTAAAAACTCCAAATGCAAGGTGTCTATATATTGCATACAGATATAAATATAAGTATATAGGGAGAGCTTGCATTTTGGGGCAAAGAAAGGGTCCTAAGAATATGAAATGAAGAAAAATTGTATCCTGATAAGAAAGAGTATAGCAGTGTTGAGTGGGGATGAAGGAGCACCTCAGCTGAAAGGCTGGCAGTGAGGTTGGAGAGCAACTTTATAGGTCAGAGTTGAGTTGGGTGTGGTGTCTCACACCTATGATCTTACTACTGTGGGAGGTCCGAGAAGGAGGATCACTTGATGCTAGGTAGTAGATCTAGCTAGTCAGGAAGCAAAGACAGGAGGATTACTTGAGCCCATGAATTTGAGGTTGTAATGAACAATGATGGGGACGCCATTGCCCTCTATCATAGCCAATAGAGGGAGACTATTTCACAAAATTAAACAACCGAAACAACCAACAAACACCTTAGAGTTGTAAAATGTTTGATCCTATAGTTTTTACAACTGTTCACTCTTGGCTTTTCCCATCTCCATGAGGCAAGTTTCTTAGCATCTGCCATTTACAACAAAGAGATCACAACTCAGAAAGGGTGAGTGACTTACTGAGTACTTCTCCTGGTCAAGGCCTTGCACGATGCAAAGCATTGCAGGCACTGAAACTATGACTAGGAGTCAGAGCTGACTTCTTAGAGTTAGTGATATAGTAGAAAAGATAAGAGGAATGAACTCAGAAAGGGATGTCCCGTATCTGTCAGGAGTAAGGGAAAATGCCTCTGCTGGGAATGACTAGCCAGACATTCATGGAGGAGGCATCATTGGCCTCAGCCCTGGAAGATGAATGTGATGTTCATACAGTCAGGGCAACCTCTGGGAACTGGGGGCTGCAGGTCAAGTTTGGGTCACAGTAAGTAGACTTATCTGGGCATTCTGAAGTATAAGAAAGAGAGTAACAGGGTGTCGCAGCTCACAGCAACTTCCAACTGCTGGGCTTAGGCGATTCTCCTGCCTCCACCTCCCAAGTAGCTGGGACTACAGATACCCGCCACAATGCCTGGCTATTTTTTGTTGCAGTTCGGCCAGGGCCAGTTTTGAGCCTGCTACCCTTGGTATATGGGGCCAGCACTCTACCCACTGAGTCACAGGCGCCACCCAATAGAGTTACTTTCAGTAAGTTAAATTACTCAGGAATGAAAAGTGAAACCTTTAGCTATATGAATAGAAGAGTGAAAAGGTGGCTGGAGGTATGAAATTCAAGTGCAGCTGCATGAATATCTGACACATAATTTCCATGAATGGACACATTTCTGTCCATTTATCTTCTGTTCAGATAAATGGATGAAAGAATTGAGAGACTATATAGGAGCAGGGAATTTGGGAGTAGCAGAAGTTCAGTAACATGAAAGAGTGGAAAAGTGAGGGGAGTATGGTTCAGTGAATAAGTGGTTTGCTTAGGAAGTGAGAATAATAGTTGAAGTGTTGTTGAGAAGAGTTTTTTCTTAGGTCTTAAAGAAGTAATACCGTTTGATAGGGAAAGCATAGCTTTCAAAGTTAGAAAGAGCACGGTCCAAAAGACACGAGTTTAAATGAGGGGACCTGATTTTCCATCCAGATAACTGACATACCTCAGACCCTTTCAGAAACCTTGGTTACAATGAGAGGCGAAGATGAAAGGTTTAGTTAGCAAAATTGTTTAATGCTATATGATGAAAAGTTTATGAGAACATTAAAATATTGAGCAAAGTCCATGATTATAACTGTCTGTCTGTCTTCTTTAAAGGAGAGTGGCCTTAGTATCTAACCAGGAGTCTCGGCATGGGAGGAAACCCCCACAATAGCTCAGGGTGGCCTCCTTTTACATTGACAGGACTCCCAGCTCTGGAGAACTCCCAACACTGGATGTTTCTGCTCCTTGGTGCCTTCTATGCTGTCTCCCTTGTAGGAAATGCCCTCATCCTTTTCATAATCAAGGAGGAACAGAGCTTGCATCAGCCTATGTACTATTTCCTGTCCCTGCTATCAGTAAATGACATGGGTGTGTCTTTGTCCACACTGCCCACAGTACTGGTCACATATTGCTTTTACTTCAGGGAGATCAGTTTTGATTCTTGCATGGCCCAAATGTTCTTTATCCATCTCTTCTCCTTCGTGGAGTCTGGCATCCTGTTGGTTATGAGCTTTGACCGCTATGTGGCCATCTGTAACCCACTGCGCTATGCCACAGTGCTCACTGATACCCGTGTGGTGCATCTGGGCATGTCTGTTATCATCCGCAGTTTCTGTATGGTTTTTCCACTGCCTTTGCTTCTAAGGAGGTTACCCTTCTGCAAGGCCAACGTCCTCTCCCATGCGTACTGCCTGCATCCAGATCTGATTCGCCTGGCCTGTGGTGACACCACCATCAATAATACCTACGGTCTGTTCCTTGTCATTGCTACCTTTGGCTTGGATTCTGTGCTCATTCTTCTCTCCTATGTGCTCATACTTCACTCTGTGCTGGCCATTGCCTCCCAGGAAGAACGTCTAAAGACACTTAACACATGTGTGTCACACATCTGTGCTGTGCTCATCTTTTATGTGCCCATGGTTGGTGTGTCCATGGCTGCTCGCTATGGGAGGCATGGCCCACGGTATGTACACACGCTCTTGTCCCTTATCTATCTCTTTGTGCCTCCAATGCTCAATCCCATCATCTATTCCATTAAAACCAAGGAGATCCGTCGGAGGCTGCACAAAATACTTCTGGGAACCAAGATTTGAACAGCAGACATGTTAAAAACCAACATTTAGGGGATGTTTACCCTTTCTCCACCAATTTAAATTTTCAATACCTACTTTGCCAAGGCATTTGTACTAACCTTTCAGGAACCGACCGACCATTAGGATTCCTGCCATCAGATGTTACATGTTAGCCTGGCAATAGTGAAGATTCAAGCTAACATGTTTTGCCAATGTAAATTGATCATTAACTTAGCAAAAAATATTTGCTTTTTTTGTTGTTGTTAAATTTAGAAACATTCATCCTCATAATCAGTTTTTCATTTCATGTGTTACTATTATTCTTGTTTAAGGTAAATCATCACAAAACAATGTATTTGTTACCCTGAAGACATGGTTGTAATGGGAAAGAGATTATTTCTGTAAATATTATGTCAAAGAGATCTTAGTTAAAATAATACACATGGTCACAGACACATAATAGCTATGTATATCAATCTTTATTTCAAATAACACATACTATCCACTTGACTGGCATTTAAAATTAGATAAATGCAGTTGCATATAAATTGCTTTAAATGACTTAATCTTAAGTAACACTAAAATGTGATACATATATTATTCTCTAGATTGTATATATATTTATGTATAGTAATAATTTTGGACATAATAAAATTGAAAGAGTATTAGCAAAATATTTCAAATATATACAACAATTTATTCTCCCTAAATTTATACTCTCAAGATTTGTGGGATTTCTTTTGACAAAAAGGAGAAACTTAAGAAATAAACATCTTATTTAAGACATTAGAATGGAATGTAATATTTTTTAAAATAGTTAAAAATAGGTAAGATTAAAAAATAAGTTAATGTGATGGGAAAAGGATGAAAGTAATCTAATATTTAATCCTTTCATAAGCTTTCAAAATAAACCCTCCTCTGGAAAAAATCAACAAATGGAAAATGAAATTTAAAAATCATATATGTTACTAGAGTTGATTTTTTTTTTTAAATTGTGTTGATCTCATTTTCATTGTGGATCGGAGAATGAAGGAGAAGCTTTCGTCAGCATCACTAGCTGCTCCATCTGCCTTCCTCTATGAGCAAGCTCTGTGAAGAGTCTAAATTTGGCCCAAGAAATCAGGATAAAGAAGGCAGGGTGAGTTGTCAGGAACATCACAGCTCCTACTGTAACCGCACTTAACAGTCACTGAACACTCACCCGTGCCTGACAGTTCTTCTATGGAGAATAACTTACTTGTCTGTTCCTTTTTTTCTTTATCCCATTAGAGAAAAGCTGGGTTTTAGAAATAGAGGTGGAATTAAAGAACATTCCAGGGAGGTGAGTTAAGGACTAATCACAAACTTGTTGCTTCTCCAAGAATGTTATGAATCCATTCCCTGCACCATTTTACAAGGTTTTCAGTCAAAACTGTTGCTTGAGCTCAGAAGCAGGAGCAGGTATGTATCTCCTCTATCCAAAGCAAGCCCCCTGCTGCCACACCTTTACATGTCACAAGCTTTTCTCTGGAGGTCTCTCAGAAGGTTGGAGGTTTGAGGTCAGTTTATAAATGTGTTTAAACTTTTGTGTGCTATTCATCACCATCAAGGTTGAGTTATCCAGCTAAGCATGGGTCTCCTGCTGTCTCACAAGGCTGTCACTGGACACTCAGAGTTTCGTTAATGCCAATGTCTCACATGTCTTTGACTGGGTCTGGATCTCATCTGCTTTGAGGAAATTTTCTGAAGCATGATTTAATAGGAGTCTGGTTAAGTCCATGTAGTGAGGGCTAGGCCCTGGGGGAAAGTTTCTTCCTTTTGTTTGGATCCCTCATCTTTTCCAATTGTTCTACATCCGTCCACTCTGGAGGGAGCAAGCCACCTTTCTGTCTGTTTCAGTTCAATTGCCAATCCAATCACAGTGGCATTTCCTCTGCAAACCCGGCTTAAAAGGCCGCAGGTCTCCCCGACCCCACGTGAGATGGATCCTATCCAAACTGAAGTTGAGAATAATGGTAACCAGCTCCTTTTTGCTAGAAACCTCTCCTTGTTTGCGTTCATGGTGGCGCAAGCTGCTAACCTGGACTTGCTGTCTCCTCAGTGTCCTCAGCAACCTGGAGGAGAAGCTACTATGGGAAACAGATTTGAAATATTTTACAAATTACAGTAGAATGTTCTATAAGTCATTTTAAATCTTAATTAAGTTTGTATTGAGGGGAAAATACAAGATGTAAACAAATGAAAAATTAAGGGATAATTGGAATTGTGGAAGAATTTGAAAATTATCCAAAAAAAAAAAATCCCACCCACATCCTAAACATGATAGTCCATGAACCTTTTCATTATTTTTCCCTAAATTTTAAGAAATAGATTATTCTTATATTTCTTAAATCACACAAAAGATTCAATGCTATAAATAGGGCAAATATAATCCTAATTGATACAGAAAACAATAAGCAAAAAATCTTATAGATTAAACACGTTAATGAAAAATCTCTGTAAATATTAAATTTTGTGAATACAATTATAAGAAAGACAGAATTTTTGTGTGTATATACTCTTTTTATATATGTATATATATACTTTATATCCTGTATATATGTGTGTGTGTGTGTCTCCTAGGAATAAAAGAACAAATTTCATTTGTCAGAAATTTCTCTGTATAAGTCATCAGTTTAATGGGTGAAATAATGAAAAAAGACATGTAAACAATAGCAGATTGCAGAAAAGGTGAAATAAAACACAAGAAAACCTATTCTATATAAAATATACATATCTTTTTTCTGTATATTTTTCTTGTCTTCAGACTATATACTTTCTAGTTAAAATAAGAGAAAAATAAAAATTTTTTTTTAACCACTATCAATTACATTTTTTTTCAATGAATCTTTGACTTGAATGTAGTAAAAACAAGGAGTTGTAGTACCCTTTTCTTTATCTATGATTGACTATAGAGAAATCCTACCAGTTCTAGTTAGCCTTTGCCTTATCTAGTTTTTGCCTCTACTGCTATCTCCTTGTGAGCCTTCATTATTACTTCTTAGTTCACACGCCATTGTCTTCCAAAAGGATCTCATTGTTTTTCATTCTTTTCTCTCATTTTTCTACTCGGTAGCTATAATGGTCTTCTAAAAGTATCTTTATGATTATAAAATGTCTCCCAGCTTTTAGTCTCTCGTCTCTTTCAGTTGGTGATGCTGTGAATGTGAGGAGCATATTTGTTTATAATTGTGTTTTTTTCATTATGGACTGGAATCTTGGGTCACCCAATAATCTATGACCTGACAACCTTCATAATCTGTCTAAGTCTCATGTATTTTATATGCTAAAGGTGGATAAAGATACTGCCTTATAGCTTTTATGAATAGTAAATAATGTTTATGAAGATTCTAGTAAGTTTATGGAATAGAGAATGGTTAACTATTTTTCATATCCCATATTTGTAACTAGATTAAATCAGCCAAATCTTACATCTCTAAGAATCTATAAACATATCTTTTTAATTTTCCACTTCTGATATCTTGTGACTGATTTACTGATTAATTCTAGGAAACCAGACATATTGTTCTCATTTCTAAGTAATAAAAGGACTTTTCCCGGACTATTCTCCCCTTATTCTTGCACATCCATTTATGCACGCTCACACACAAATTCATGCACACAAACACAGACACGACAAGCAAACAGTAACGCGAGTCTTCAGATGCACTAAATTCTCATCAGGTTTGATATTCTTCTACAGAAATTTAAAAACAATTTATAATTAAAACCGTAATGTAGGTGTAAACAAGTTCAATAAAGTTTTAGTTTTACTTGGGGAGACTTTAATATTTTAAAAAATGCCTCACATTTAATTTAACTATCTAAGAATCAAAATATCTAAAGTCCATGTGAAAACTTTGAAGGATTTACTTTTTTGATGTTCTAAATGTATATGCTTGCTCTGACTGTTAAATAATCCAGTCATCATTTTAGGTATAATAAAATGTATTCACAACATTTTCTTGGACAATTAAAAGAACTAACTTACAGCAAAGAAACTATTAGAGTCATGAACACTTAGTTGATGGTCAGGAAATAAATAGCACTCGTCCTCTTCTTTAGTCTTCAGCCCTGGCAATAAGGGACAGTATGGTCATTGGCGATAATGTGGGTCTGCATCAGGACATATATATCCAAGTTCTGACTCTATAAAAAATTCCTTTGTGCATACCAGTTAGCATATTACCCCTAAGAGTTTCAATTTCTTCATTCTAAATGTGTGGGTGTGATAAGAGATGGCCTAAAAATGCTCCAGTTTTAAGGTCAGTACATTAGTGTCTGGGATCTCATCCTGGTCTCAGACTCCCAGAATCCTCAGAGCTCCTGGAACTTTCACTTTCTGTTGAGGTTCTTTTCTGACAGATGAAAAACTGGCAAGTCCTCAGGGTAGTTCTTGTTTGATAAGGACATACATTGTAGAACTGTTTGTCCAGATCTATAGAAATTTATAACTCATTTTACAAATGGGAAATTAAAAACTTGAACTAATCAAATGATTTTCTTAATGTCGTTCACTTAGGGAAGGAGATAGGTTTTTTTTTTGCAGTTTTTTTTGGCTGGGGCTGGATTTGAACCCATCACCTCTGGCATATGGGACTGGCGCCCTACCCTTTTGAGCCACAGGCACTGCCAGGAAAGGAGATAGTTTTGAATCCAAGTCTGGCTGTGGGTGACAAATTGTCCATGCTTGACAAAATTATGAGGCCTTCCCCAGTGCAGGACCTACAGTATTAGCAACAGTATGGTTTTGGGAAAACCAGGATGATCACCCTATATGCAACCCTAAGTAATTAGGCTTTTGTTGGTTATGCCATTTTACATTTGAAATCCATGTGAGTTGTGGCATAGTTAGTGAAAAGAGCCCTAATCCGAAAATCAGTGAGAATCAGTGGGTCTGGGATCCAGCCTATCTCTGTTCTTGACTTACTGGGTTTGTTTTTCTATTAAAAAAAATTGAGAGTTTAATATACTGCTCACTCCAGGACAATCCAGTTCTCATT